AACATCAATTCTGCTCTTTTAAATATATGGTCACAGCCAGTGTTAGGTGTAAATTAACTTAAATTATACTGGACATAAATTACTTTTTTAAGGGTTGGTTTAACGGAGTTGAAATTAACTATAACAGGGAGGTGTGGAAGAATTACAGTGGGGAGATTCAGTGGAGAGAAAGACAAAGATGTAGTTATAGATCACCATTTCTATTCTGTGCTGTTGCTCCGTGAATTGCTGAGACTGAGATTTTTTACACTTCTCCAAAGACTGCTGGTATTCTCTTTGCTTTTTGGTCATCATTGACTGGTAATGCTGAATGGTGCCGTTTTTCTCCTGTAGGAAAATTAGAAAAAGGAAAACATCAAATAAAAAAAGGATTCTATAAAGGAGTGTAAATGGAGGACAAAACACAAAGCTTTCACAAAATACACAACAAACAAATGTGTGTGTGTGTGTGTGTGTGTGTTTTACCAGTAGCTGATTCTCCAGCTCAGTGTTCGTCAGTGCAGAGCGGCTATAGGCCGAGGTTTTCTCCTGCAACTGTTTCTCCAGCGAAGCCACACGTGCACTTTTTCTTTTCAACTGAAGTGAAACAGAGATGCAAAACGGGTGCAACAATCTGTAAGAACCAATAATTAGCTCTCAAGCTCGGTCAAATATAGTTTATACCGCATGAAATGATGACCATGAAATTACTATATAAATGATTAATACTCTGATTTTCATTTGAGCAGATTGCTTCAACCAATAAGACAGTTGAGTTCAAAGAAGGAAAGAAAGAGAAATTAAGAAAGGGGGTAAAAAAGGGACCTCTTTTTCTGTGTCAGTGGCTTGGCTGACTTTGTCCAGCAGCTCCATGTGGAGGCTTTGGTAGTGGGAGGCTCTCTGGGCCATGGAGCTCTGCAGGGAGGAGATCTCCTCCTGGGCTCTGGTCAGTCGCTCCTGCAGCCGCTCCACCAGGCTGTTCTGTTTGGTCTGCTCAGCCTCGATCGACTGAAGCACTCGCAGCAGCTGCTGGTAGCCTTCACCTGCAAGGGTTGAGCAACGGGGAAAGAAAGGACAGGAATGCTTCTACTTTTTTAAATCATAGATAAGGGAAAAGCATATGGCACCTGCTCTCTGACGTCATTTTTTCTACTTTGCTGTGTAATTAACTACATTACCACAACCTACCTAAATGATGTTGCATTACATTTATTTTTAAATAGGTTTTAAGGTTCCACATTTATGTTTGCCTATTGGACTGAGACACCTAAAGTGCAAGAAATTATGCAGAATGAGCTCCTCATTCTAACTATATTAAGTTTCATCAATCCCAAAAGATAATTTCACTCTTAAAGAAAGATGGGTACGAAACTTGTGTATAAGAATAATACACAATAAAACGCTTACATATAGATAAACCAGGATGTAATAATGAAGAGGTGAGGTTGGTTATGATGAGGTTTGTCAACATACCTGGCTTTAGCTTCAGTAGGTGTGCTGTTCCTGAAAGGTCCATATGGGGTAGCATGCAGGGCCGGACACACAGCTGCCCAACAGCACCCTGAAATAAAAAAATAACATATGACAACAGTAAACACAACTTGCTTTAGACAGTTACTGTCCATCAGACCTATATATATATATATATTCCTCTCCACCTCTCGTAGATGCAGCAGGGCCAGTATGGCCTCCAGGCTGGCCAGCTCCGCCTGGCTCTGTTGAGACTCTCTGTTACTCTGGGCCACCCTCTGCTCCTGGTTCTGGGTCAGAGTTTGAATGTCTTCCAGCTTTTTGCGCAGAGAGGCCAGCTCCCTGCTTTCTGCTCCCCGCTCCATAAGCTGCCGTTCCAGATGTAAGGCCTTTTGACTAGTCTCCTCCAGCTGAGCTTGGAGGCCAGCAGCTGCAGATTTGGCCTTCCTCACCTCCTCCTTCAGCTGGCTGGGAGGCAGACGACACCAGAACGGAAGCAGGGGGAAGATCAGGGACAAAAATGTGTTAATGTGATTGATAATAATAAAATTAGAATTCCTCCAAAAGTATTTCTATTTCAAACTACAAACATTAACAGACCAATGTAAACAATGGTATAAGACAATCTCATGTGCGTACCCAATTGTTTGGCTCTGTTCTTCCTTATCTCTCTCTAGCACAGTGCACTTCAATTCCAACTCCTCTTTTTCTCTGTCACACTCAATAAGACTGTCTTTTAGTCTGCTCTCACTCTCCATCACCTTAAAAACACAAATGAAAACACATTTTAAATAACTTATTTAATATATATATATAATAATAAATAACAAATAAATAAACTTTACCCTGTTAAGTTTAATGGAAATGGTAGCCTTATAATCTTTGAAGGCTTCTTTGAGTTTCTCTGCATTTTGAAGTGCTTGGTTCCTTTGTTGCTCCGCCCTGTAAGAGATGAGGTAGTAAGTAAGTACTAAAAAATAACTCAATTGTGTTGTGAGTTAATTAGACATGGAGCCCAAGGTAACAAACACAATTATAAGATAAAGACATTGGAGATGTAATAAACTGTACTGTAATGAAATACAATTGTGTGGGGAAGTCAAGCCCAGATAAAGCGTTCACCGTTTGCCTAGTGCTGTCTTGGTGTCCAGATCTTCTCTGAGCGCGCTCAGCTGCTCACTGAGAGTCGCCACAACAATCTCACTGTGAGCTGCTGCTTCCTGGCTACACTCTGCCCTCAGTTCTGCTGCCCTGGGAAACACAGACAAGGACAGGTTGTTAGGGATATTAATGCTAGAATCAGCTAGAGGTTAGTGTAACAGTTCCAAGAAAAAGAAAAAAAAAAAGCAACAACCAAGCTAGTCTCATCTAGTATCATGAATGACTGGCTGTGCCCCACAGCACATTATATATATATATATATACACTGGATACTGAATCGGTGTAAATAGGGTTCAAAAAGGCATGTAATTGCAAACATTACAATTACATAAATAGTGACATCTTCAAAAGTATAAGATGAGGTCACAAGGTTACTTTAGTGCTTTGGCTTGAGCCTCCAGCTCTGCTTGAAGCTGACGAATCTGCTCACTCATGACTGCTACATTGTTTTTAACTCCAACCTTTGGGCCTCTGAAGCTGGCCTGAAAAAGAAAACACACACACAACATATGTACCCAATACAGTTTTGGTTGGTTTATGTCATAGATTTTTATTATTTATTATCATTTTTTTTATTATTGTTGATATTTGAAGTAACAAAAAAAAAACTCAACTAAACACTGAAACAAAGAACACTGACTTCACACTACACTCATTTGCAACACACAAATAATCCCCTCCACAACATGATGTTTAGGGGATGCTTGTCATACCTGCGATTTGAAAGAGGCCAGCTCATACTGCATAGCATCAAGGTCCCTGATGAGCTGCTCATCCTGTATGGTCAGACAGGCGTTCTCTTGGCGCACAGAGCCCACCTTCTTCCGTGAAGATACCGACTCCATTTCTACTGACCTGGCTTTGACTGAGGCAGACTGAGCCGGAGGGCAGAAAACAGGTGTGGACGAGAGGTGTGTGTTTATCGTGAGGGTTTACTCCACTAATTTACCTTCTAGATATGATGTTACTCTGGCCTTGTTTATTACCAAGTGTCTTTCAAAAGAGTTATTTATATTACATGTACAGCTCATTTTCCCTAAAAAACACAGATTGCTGTCAGACCACATTTACATACTTAAAAACTGTATCTGTTATCTATACATGCACAACAATACGCAGCTTGAGACAAAGTGATGTATCTGACTGGTTGTCCCACAATCTTGTCTCTCACCCCACTGTTGGAAGAGGGTGGACTTAAACTACCAGCAACAGCACGTCTCTCAGCCGTCCCACTGAGAGGCCTCTCCTGACAAACACCATCAGGTCTCTGCAGGTCTTGGAGGGTCAGGCGATCAGGACCCGTCTGCTCATACTCAACCCTGTCATGTCCTTCTGACTGACTGTAGAAGGTGTACATATAATAATCTGTGACAAAGGTATCAAGAGAGGAGGATAAAGGGTCAAATACAACATTTTACTAACTCTGTAATGTCCTCAGCTAGTGGCTGCAGGGTTACTCTGTAGTAGTGTACTAGTGCAGACTGTGTGTTCATGTCATGCAGTTATCTCACCTCAGTTTCTGTCCCACACTTTGCAGGCTGAGATCCGTCAATCGAAGCAGATTACTCAAACTGACCACAAGTAAGGTTAAACTCTTCTCGTCCTCAAACATTAGCTACAATAATGAGAAGTACACCTTCAGCTAGGTTAATCAACAACTTGTCTTGCCTTGCTGAGGTTAGCTCAAGCAACATTTCCAACATGTGTGAATGTTTGGAAAGGAATAAAAAAACTATTTTCAATATACCGTTGTGCTTTAAACATATGTGCCTATAGTAGAGCACCGCACACTAGCTAGCATAGCTACGCTCGCTAAATGTAAACAAAGATGCTCGCTGTATCAACAGGTGGCTAGTTAACGTCAACATTACCGTTGTCTTCACAGAAAAGGTTAATAAACGACCTCACAGTGTTTCCGCTTTGAACTAAACATTAATTTTGTCGACTTGGCGCTACGAAAGCATTAAAAACACGTATGCGGGACTTCTAGTTGAACAAAACTCCGCAGGTTTCCCAGTGCGGATCAGTAAAAGGCAAAGTAGCCGAACAATTTGTAATTTTTTGTCTCCGCCCATATTCCAACAACGCGGTTTGTGATTGGATAATACGAAGCTGTCTGTGACCTGATTGGTGGAGAGGGCTGCCAACGACACTGGCCGCGAACATTGGCGCGTGCACTGGAACTGTCAGAGTAACAACGGTAACTAGGGTGAAGAGGCTCGTGTCCAAACAACGACCGGCAGCTATTAAAGCTGCAGTAAACTTACATAAAGATATAATATATTTAAACAGATTATCAGTCAGGATATAGTGAAAATATTAGCAATATGACAGTTATTTTATAGAAGTTACTTATTGCAGCTTTAAACATCGAATACGCAACACAACAGTTCAAAATATCAACTTTTATTTATCCTTTAACTAAACAGGTTCAGAAGTAACACGTCAACCTATATAATGATGTATAAAAATGTAATAAGAAGAATCTCAAGAGACAAAGCAGACGTTACATGAATGTTCTTTGGCTACAGAAGCCTGCTGGAAGTCAGTGGTAGCATCATGTAGGCTGAGACACTGGCTGAACAGAGGAGAGAAGCTTCAAATGCATGACTACATCCGCACAATTAAGAGGTATCAATGTCAAAAAGGTCTGTCCATTTGAACAAAAACAGAAACATCTCGAAAAAGAGACTAACAGAATATTCACCTCTTGCAATGACATACAGCATATTAGTTTTCCAGTGATTGTTTTCTGACTCATTTTAAACAAGCGAGTGTTGCAGTAAAAATAGACTACAAATTATTTTGCTCATAGAAAAAAAAAAAAAAAAAGCGTACATGCATACATATGGTCAAAAAGTAATTGAGCACCTGATATAAAAATACTGACCAACAACACTGAGTGAATAACTTATATCAAGACCTTCAAGACCTCCTGTTAAGCTGCAAATGCTGGCCTATACAATACAGTGAAGTTTATGGGCATATCCTGAGTGTGTAAACTACGAGGTGGTTTTAACTGTAGAAGCAAAAATCCAAGGGCATTGTTTGTTTGTTTTTTGCACTGTCACAGGAAATATTTAATGACATGGTCAAATTATCACAATAATGCTGAATCTCCCCATTGTCAAGCCACATGGTCCAATTATATGGCTGAACACCTTTATCCAGGACTACTTGCATAGGCAGCACAGAAAAGCAGAATCATTCTGAACTCTAGGTACGAGGACTGGGTACACAACATTCATCTTATATCAGAAAAAGTAAAAACTAAATAGGTCCTTGAAGATTTCAGAGTTAACAGTCATTTTATCAATTTCAAATCAAAATGTTATTAAAAAAAAAAAGGTTACTACGAGTCATCTTGGGTTTGGGCTTCTGATCATTTCTATGCTGAAATTACACTTGATTTAGGGATGTTATTTTTCAGAACCTCCATTTAAACAGAGTTATCACCACCATTAAAAAAAAGTATTTAAAAAGAAATTTATCAATTGCTTCCATGTATGAGCAGAAAAGCTCAAATGATTTGTTCAAAATGAGATGACAGTCTAACGGACATCATTTGTTTGATTTATGTGCAATCCAGAATTTAAAAAAAGAAACTCAAGAGAACTCTTTCCCGCTGAATAGAAAAAGGCATATGAGTAAGTACAAGTGGAAAAGATAATAATAAATGTAGTATAATTCTATATAAAATAATAAACATTTGCAGCAGCACATCTCTTTTTCCTCCTGAACTGCTCACAAATGAGCACACTTTCCAAAACACAACTGAAAGATATGTCTGCCTAAGGCAACAAGAGGTACTCATAGCTGGGACTAGAGAAAAAGGGGACATGATTCTAAAGGGACATGTATTTATTTACCAAATCTGGTAAGAAAACAAATGTTAACCAAACGCATGTAATTGTTCACTGCATGATTACAGTAGTAAAGTTGATGAAAATTCTTTAAACAAAACTTCCCCTCTTTCTCTTATCCTCCAAGATTCACCATTTAATGCATGACATACTACATTCTGTCGAAAACACTTACAGTTTCATACTTAACTGATCTGGAAATGAAAAGTATATCACTGGATTAAAAATCAAACAATAAAGAGCACTGAAAGCCTACGGGTGCAGTGCACTGGTCAATTATTTGCCCCTGAATAAATGGGGATTCTGTAAACATTCAAAGCAGGTAACACAAATATGGTGGTGGTACAATGACTAGCCTCAAAAGACATGTTTAACCCTAGACAGCACTGAACCAGTAGGCTTTAAACAGTCAACTTAATCTGCTCCCGTCTTAACTAAATAAAAGGCATATATCAAATAATGCTCTGGATACAGGCTGTGTGCACATGTCCTTAGCACAGCCGTAAACCTCTTGTAGGTGCTGGTTAGAAGTTAGAAATGACGTCGACATTCGTCTAGGAGGCAGTGACTCCTTCCCACTCCACCAGGTACTGCACCTTGCCATCAAGGGTGACCCGTCGCGCCAGGACTTTGTACTTTTCCCCACAAGCCAGCCGCCCTGCTGCTCCGAAATAACTGCTGATGGAGCTCTTGAGGTGGGAGAGCTGGGTGTTGGGGTCCATGCCATGAACTATGTCTGTGGAGTGAAGCCCCGGGAGCGGGCTCAGCACCTCTGTAGCTGAGGGATTTGGGTCTGCGAGGCTGGGAGGGGGGATCTCTGGGTTGGGGGGCTGCAGGGCCCGTCGTGGCCGCCCACGTTTCCTTTTTAAGGGTGGAGAGGAAACAGGCATGATGCAGGCTGTCGTGCGCGTCTTGCTGGAGCTACAGAGGCTGGACGGGGGTTCGATAGGAAAAGAGGAAGTCAAGAAACTGTTATTAATTCTGAGGGCAATAACAAAAACAAAATATACAGACAAAAAACTAGACTAGAGTCTACAGAAATGCCAGTGGCTCTGTATTTAAGCACAGTGCTGCTTTGAGCTAAATGCTAACTTCAGCATGAAACAGTGACAGCGCATCACTGGAGCTGAAGGGAATGTCAATAGTTTTTCCACGTATGTAGTAATAAAGTACTGGACTAACTGAAATTATGACTTGGTAGCAGCAGAGTTTCTACAATTCATTTTGAGAGGAACATGAATGTCAATCCGTCCAACAGTTGAGATATTTCAGTCTGGTCCAAAGTGTTGGACTGACAGAACAACACTGCTGTGCATAGAGTCTTAGATTTCAAAGTGACAGAGGGGTAAATGTCACAGTTGCATATTGTGCATACCTGGACTGTCTTGAAATGCTAGTTGAGGTAGTTTCTGAGGTGCTCAGGGCTCCTATGGATTCCACATCTGAGGACAGCAGAGACCTGTCACGCCTGTGGAAAACAAGAAAAGGAGAATGAAAAAGAAATATACACAGAATAAACAAAAATGTTGCAGACAGTTATAGTTACTGTACATTGACATAAAATAATTAGTCAATTCATCAGTCAATTGAGAGAAAATTAATCAGCAAAAACGTTGACAATCCTTTTAGTCAATCAAACAAAAACACACATAATGTGAGGATTTGCTGATTTTCTCTGTTATACCATAGTAATTACAAATCTTTGTTTGTCAAACAGTCTAAAACTATGGGCTTACTATTTCTATACATTATCTAATCTATAGATTCATCAAAACTGAACACTTGAATGGAAATTCTGTACCCCAATTGCTCACTTACTTGATAGAGGTTAAGTGATCCAATGTGTGGGACTCTAGTGGCAGAGGCTTTCTTATTTCCTGTCAAAGAAAGAAAAAAAAAAAACTGTTAGCATTTCTCAGTGGGTTTCCTTTTAATCTAACAGTTTCTCAATATCCCCAGCAAAAGTTACAGTTTGACTGTGTGTGTGTGTGTGAGCACAGGCCTAAAGAAAACCTACACACACCTCTCACAGCTATGTATACACCCAGCTCACGCCCACTAATACATACAAACACAGAGACATACAAGCACACACACACCTGGGATAAGAGCTCACTGGAGCGTGGTCGTTTAGCCAGAGTCTCCAGAGAGCGTGATCCTTGCTTCCTCTTTTTCTTCTTCTTTTTCTTCTTCTCTGTGCCATTGGTCAAAGTATTGCAAGTCCTAGAGCAACCACAATATTTTACAACAGTTGTGCATTAATAACACTAACTGTTAAGCAAATTACAAGATGCAGGACAAAACACTGCTTTTTTGCATGTTGTCTAGGAGGTGAGACAGAGGATTCGCATCAATGCAGCGACGGACATAAGCATGAGACGAGAGGACATTTTCATGTCATAATCATCTTGGCCAAAAAAAACTGCGGTACATGATATTATCATTATACTAAATATACTTCATCCTTTTAAAATGGCACTAAAACATACTGGTATCACTTTATCTTTTTGTTAAGAAACAAATATACTGCATCACAAATAGGCACCTATATTTTATTTATACTATTTCCACACATCTGGTTTAACCTTTTTTGCTCCCCCTTGTCCCTTTGTTCAAAATAAATCAGGGAATCAATACAGATCTTAAAGCTGGCGAGCTAGACAGCTTTTTCAAGTCAAGCCTTGTGAAGATATTTACAAATATCACAATATTGGAAGTTCACCAAGATAAATGTATGCGTCCCTTCCCTAGACGGACATTACCACGAGTTTGCACCCTACAAAAAATTATAGCCTACTAACAGCTGCACCATAAAGTTTTGAAGTTTCACCATTACACTGCAATAATGCTCTCTAGCATTCAATTGTGGGCAAACATTTGGCTAACATTAATTTTATATCTTGGTAGATATGGCTGAGGGAGGCAGAGATCAGCAGTGAGTGTTCAAAGACACACCAACTCAACTGTAATTGAATAAGATCGTGAGGCCAGTTAAGATTGACACCTCTAATGATCACTTTATCATTTTATGACCTCTGTCCAACACAAGCAGTTTGCAAATTCAAGAGCTTACAATGAGTGTTGAGAGATACTGGCAGGGTACTGTGCCATTAACAAAGACTTCCCATCCAGGAATATCAAAACATTTAACTTCAAACTCAAGTTTCCCTTACCTCATGCCAGATAGAGCTTTGGTGGACTTGCATCCCTTGATGGTGATCTCATGTGAAGCCCTCTCCATCACTCTGCTGGTTGGCTCATCAGAGTTGGGGGGAGCAGGAGGGAAACGGATCCTTAGCCCAAACAAGTGCTTCTTTTTCTTTACCTCCTTCCCTGACATAAACCTGGATGAGGCAAGGGAAAGGAGTGTTTCTTTCATTATCTTCAACAACAAAAAAAGACATAGCATAAAAGAAACAATCAACCAGTAAAGGAATAACTTACATGCTCCTGTTGCTGTTTAATGCCTGCAGAACATATTCATATCGCTCTGATCCCGGAGTGTTAGCAAGCTGCAGACACAGGGGCGGGGAGTCACCAGACAGGAAAGACAGGGTGTAAGAAAAAAGTGGATATTTCAGAAAACCAACACCATATGGTTTCAAAACCTAATTTGGCAGCCAGGGAGAATTTTAAAATAATTATCCCTGTATGAAAGGCTACCAATATGGTTTTCTGGTCTCCACTAAACTTGAGAAGTAAGGAAATGCTAACGGGTTGCCAATCCCTAACATCCTGTGCCAAATCCATAACATGTAACATTAAACTACACAAATACAGTGTGTCTTTATGTTCAGTAGAAACTTTACATTGAACATAATGTGTTTGTCTGTGTTTCCAGAATTGGCCACTGGTGCATTATAAATGAAAGTTAGTGAACAGTCAAATGTAAGTTGGTTAGTAGTGTCCTAACCTCCCCCAACTGCAGCAGCTCCCAGTTCTCATTGATGTAAGTCATCAGGTGCATCTCAGAGTCAAAGTACTTCTTCTTGTGGATCACGCTCAGGTTGTACAGGCTCAGGTGTGTCACATCGACCCTGAAATATTTTAGTAAAAACGCTAGAAGATACAGGAAGGAGGTACCACAAAGTAGAGGTGTTGAAATTATTAATTGAATCGCTTTTTATTGCCTTTAATCGATAGTGACAGCTGAAGGGTGACAGGAATGGGGGGAGAGAGGGGATAGCAAAGGGCCAAAGGTCAGAGTCAAGGACTCAGCCTTGGTATATGGGGGCCTGCTCTACCAGGTCAGCTATCTGAACACCTAAAGTCTCTAGCATTTGATGTGAGGAAGTATTGTGTCTAAAAAAGCACTACTTTGGAAAGAAGGCCAATCACACGTGTTATTTTATTAAATAATATAATGTTTTAAAGGGAAAAAAAAAAATCACTCACCATCTGAGAGAAAGTCGGCTGAGGTACTCTGGTCCACCGTTGCAAACAGAACAGATAAACAGGTAAAACCTAAAGTCAAACAAACAAAAAAAACACGTCAGCTTATAACCCTGCAAAAAGATTTGTGATCAAAGGGCGTATTTTACAGCCTCGTGCTTTATGGTTTCTGAAAGTAAATGTCAAGTACATGAAAGGCAATTTTACACAGGCAATAATATCAAGATAATGTGTGCATATGGAAACAGAAAGTGGAGGTTAATACCACAACACCAATCATTTATTCCACTGAATTCATTTCCTGTAGTAGGACCGCTCTGAGTAAATAACTACATACTACTGGCCACACAAAAAAACACATTTGAACATGATGTATGATCTGAATCATAATTTATTCTTTTAAAATAGTTGTCTGCAGTAATTGTCACCACAACCAGGTTGGTTACACCCTGAAGAATGAATTGGTGTCGAAGCATGAAGTACTGTTGTTACTGTAAATAAAGGATAGACAAGCGGGGGCTCTTCACACTCATTTACATTTACATTATTGTAAGCCTAAAGTGATTCCTACATTCTCCAGTTGTAAAAATGTGTACATACATTGCGTCCTGAGCTGGTACCCTTTTCTCTATATTTTGCTGAACCTCAATAGAGGTGGCTACTGGTCTTTAGTCTCCCTATCTAGGCTAGGGATGGATTCAAATAAATAAAAAAGTCTCGGAGGACAATCGAGAATTTAATAGTGCGTGGACAGATTTGTTTGCATTAACCACCAACGCTGCTGACTTTATAAAGTTCAGATATGTTTTTTTTGTGGGAGGGACCATTAATTAATAATTAATTGATTAAATAGTTAATAAACTTTGCAACTCCTGCCAGCCAATCAGAAGCTGTTTCTACAGCCATGATATAAACATATATCTTAATAAAAATATGAAACATAAATAGTGGTATTTGCACCTATCTCCGTAGAGCATGGGCATCTGTAAGCAATGGAGACAAGCCTCATGGAACCACTGCTGACACCTGTTACACTGCAGCATCTTCAGGTACCAACTACAAGAAAGGAGAAAGAACGGGGTTAGCTGTACCAGGATATGTTACACATATACACACACACACACACACAATATTAAAACACAGGAAATTGTTTACCCATATTATTTACTGTGTTCTGTAAACTAATTAACCTGCTACTCACTCTCCTGGACCTCCACAGTAGCAGTAGCACTGCTGCATGTTAGTCTTGTGGCCCTGATCCCACACCAGTTCATCGAGGGCGTACGGGAAGGACAGGTGCAGCTCCATGTGCTGCTGCTGCTGCTCATGCTGCAGAAAGCCTTTAGCAGACACTCCCCTCCTGTGCGCACCCCCCCTCTGTAAACCACACACAAAAAGCATGTTTACTCCAACATAAAACTACAATATACACACAGTGTTTACTCCATATAGCTACCCTACAGAGTCTCCTATCTCCATTGTGCTTCACAGTTAAAGCAGAGCAACTAATGAGTCTCACAAAATAACTGTTTGTCATGTAAATACATCTGATCAAACAACGTATATATATATATATATATTCGACTAAAGGTTTTATGCATTTATTCTCAAAACAAAAGATGTACCTTAGATATAGATGTGAGCTCACACTCTGAGCAGAGCCACTTGTCATCTGAGTCAATGACAGAGGCATCGATGATGGGGGAGTGGCACAGCTGATGGTAACCTAAAACACAATGAACACATTTACATGCAGCTGCCTCTCCTGCATCATTCTTTGAAGAGGTACAAATGTCCTTGATGACCAGAGATTAGAGCACAATAGGTAGATTTATAAAGAATGGACAAATAAAGTAAGAAAAAGAGGATAAAACAAGAGAACTGCTTTGTTCAATGTTAGGTATAAGAGCACCAGAGACGATGAACAGTACCTTGTCCACACTTGTCACAAATGACAATCTCATTAGGCTCCTCTGAAGTTTCATCCTGGCATATGGAGCACACAATATCATCGTCCTCATCATCCTCATCATCTTCATCCCCTGAAATGGACAAGAAGTCAGGGGAAATCACAACTCTTCCACCAGTAGCCGTTATGTAGGCTAGTTGTGAAAAATAGTACATTTAAAAAATATTTTAAGTAAATTTATGAATCACTGCAGCAAAGTGAGAATTTCAACCACTGGAGGTCAGCAGAAAACAAGGCTTTTAACTTTTCATCAGCGCTACAACACAGTGTACACAGCTGTGGAAGAACATGTGGATCAGCTCAATTTGGAATTAGTCAAGATTAAAAGATAAATATGCAATTAAAGTGTGGATATTTGTCAAAATGTTCCATTAATCATAAATCATTTAAAGCTTTATTACAAAGCATTTCTGGGTCATATTTGGGTTTTAACTGACTGATCTAGAAGTGGATAGCCCCCAACCTCTCTGTCTATCTTCCCTATGCTCCTGTTCACATGAGGGCAGTGCACTGGTGCTGTGCTGATATACACTGTGGTCAGTTAACTGTCAGCCACAAGAGTAGGGAGATAAGTAAGGCAGAAGAAAGCAGGGGCAGAGAGCACAGTCCTAATCCACCAATTCAAGCAAAACCATTTACCTTTATAGAAACTAAACTGCAGAACTACCAATAAAATAGCAATAATATTTTAGATTAACCGCAAATGCTAAAGAATTCAATAATAAGATCCAAATATTTAACATGTAAACCTTGAAGTTGAAATAACTTACCTGTCTGAATGTCCTTCCAGAGAACCCAAGACTTCGACCGATCCTCAAAAACCACAAAGCATCGCTGCTTGTCCCGATCTATCTGAAGAGGAAAACAAAAACAGATTAATGTCTTCTTAAACAGCACATTGATTTAAAAGCCTAAATGTATTGCACAGGCAGAGTATCTGCTCTATGTCTCTTGTGTACTGCAATAGAAAACACATTATAGTACCAAAAAGAGTGTTTCCCTCCCACTAACCTTGGTGATTGTCCCCAAGTAGAACAAGCCATCTGACCACCGGGCCAAGACGTCCTGTCCCTCTGTGAACCTGTCAGACATGCTGTCTTCTCCATACTCTCCCCTGGCAGAAAGGCTTGTGGGGGACAAGGACACAGCCTGCTGCTGCCGCTGGGGGTGAGCTCTGTGATGGACCGACAGGTGATGCACAACCCCTGAGTCTCTGAAAAACATTTAACAACCAATAATTACATATATTAGTATAGATATAACACATTATACTGAGATTATACAAGATGAACTAAGCTTTCACACGGACCCAAGTTATTTTTTTTTATAAAACCTCTGGTTTAAAAGTAGCAATCTTACAATCAACACTATAATAGGGACCATCAGTGAAGTTCCTTGGTAACAGATATCAGACAACAGGAATTATATGCAGAAATCTATGTAAATCTCTACTGAAATACTGTCTGTGTAATTTAATGGATAAAACAAGGATAAGTTGTGTTGTGGAAGACCTTGCAACCAATGGCTGAAAATAAAAACATTTCCCCTCCAGTGGACACAAACAGGTGATTGTACTCATAATTAGCGCTAATTGGTAATTAACCACAACCACGCAGACTGTAAAGATGGCTGCAGGACAATGCTGAGATTTCCTATAACATATTCAACGTTTAAAACTAAATAAACTCATAGGTTATTAGCACATTTAAACATAGTTACATATAAACTGACAACTACATGTCATTACCTGTTGTCAATGCACAATTTTAGCGCTTCACTTTTTTCTTAATCTTCTGCAGCAAAACGTTAATCACTGAGTTATATCAGAAACTAACGTTAAATTAAATGTGTCTTTTTCCCTTTTAGCCTCTGTCCGTCAGACATTCCCTTTGTTCGGATACTGGGTGAACATGGTCAGTCTGAGCCCAGCACAGAGGATAAAGGCACCGTTTGGAGATAACGCTGCATGCTGAAACGTGTTGTTGATAAAGCGGGGAACAAGCAGGCCCGGTTGTTAACATTAATACCCCACATGTAACGCGTTAACCCCGGACAGCGCTGACCGTCGGACCCCCCCCTCCCCTCCACAGGAGGAAAACATGATGACAACAATACCTCATTCGGTCACCTCCGCTTCTACAAACGACTCGTACTACAAAATAACAGGATGTGAAGGGCCGCCTTTATCCCGCTCCTCCTGAAGTTGAAGTTTATTTCTAAAGTGTATCTCGGAGACTGGCGGGGCTCGTGGCTTCCTCAGAAAATAACAAACGGCTCATTTTCCCCCAACACATTCGCCATTTTGGTTTCCCGCTGATGACGGGGAGTGCATTATGGGAACGACTGCTGCCTTCACACTAGGTGGAGGGTGTGTTTTTTTTTTTTTCAAACATTTGAAATTGTAGGCAGGGCATTGACTGAACAGGATACATCCGCCCCTAAAGTATAATGCACTCGTGTTTTTCTTTGTTTTGTTTCAGTTTCCTCTGTCGGGGTGCATGAAAGTAACGTTGTCGCTCTTATTTATTAACAGACATTTTCGCAGATGAAAACCTAGCTGGCGTTATGTTTTATTAAAAACGTTCAAAAGTGAAGCGAGGCGGTGTTTTATAAACGTACACATTGTGGCCGCTCGCTGGCGCTGTAACATCATGTGAAGTTGTCACTTTTAGTTTGGATGTTGTGACCGGAAGTCGTGTTGGGCTATCGCTTCAATACTGCTTTTATTGTGAAAGGTTTAGCGGAAGTGGGTTGTACTCGTGTTTGCCAGCTTGACCCGGTGGTAGCTTCATAGTTTATCAACACTCTGGGTGACTTTACGACTTTACCTCAGATAAAGCGGGGCCAGTGAATACACACACACACACACACGGCTCAGTCGGATTGTTTGTCCACCGGGAAACTCAAAAACATCTTTATTGCGTATACGTCTATGTTTATTGTAGAGGAAGACGCTGCGCCTGCGCCGTGAGCCTACGTTTTTTTCAGCTTGAGGTATGTTGCTTTAGTAGAGAATCAGCAGCTGCTGCAGGGAGCAGGGGCGCAGGCAAAGTGCAATAACGGAGCGGATCACAAGGACAGGATACGAGCTGCAGTCCGGGTCGGGGATCATGGTGCGCTAATATGCAGTCATTTCTGGCTGCTCTGTAAACGGGACGAGTCGTTTTCATGTGGAAGACGCTTTCTCCCTCCTGGATGATCTCCCACAGCCAGGTCCACGTATTGAGATGAGCTATTTTTGTGATGGCGAAGGGTCTGTTTCCACGGGCCTGGGTGAAAAAGTCTTTCTACTTCCAGGTAATATCACTGTTCGATCATTTCTCTGTAAAGCCATTAGCGTTGTATACAGCGGGGTGTGTTTAAATGGACTGTGCGCCTGTGTATAATGGGGTCTTCGCGGTGTCACATCAGACTGACAGCTGGCTGTAAACATACCGGCTCGGCCTGTTCTGATGCGCTGCTTCAGAGAAGCTGAGGATTGTGAGTGCTCATGAAACATTAAGGTCATGACAGCCTTTCTGCTGATCCTGAATGGTTTGGTACAGACCAGGGCACAGACCAGAGTACAGACCAGAGT